AGGACCCGAGTTCTTGGGGACTTCCCTTTCCACCCTGGAGATAGAGTATTTTTTCCCTGTTGTTAAGGGCTGGGTTGCCCATCCATGAAGCTCAGCAAATTGGGGTAGGAGGAGCCTAGATGCCAGAAGAAGCTAACATACCCAGAGACAGCCCCTACCTCTTCACAGCCCAGTCCATGACATCTCTCTCCTTCCCTGGTGCCCTTACAATGCTTCTGCCACAGGGTTCCGGACTCTGGCCTGCTCCTCCTGAGTCTCCAGCACTGGCCAGAGAATCTCCTTGGGAAATGAATTTTTCCTTAGGGTGGAATTCTGGGGCTCAAGTCCTGACACTGACAAAGCAGTAACATGCACTGCCCCTGTAGACTCTTCAGAACAGCTAAAATGACAGCAGTAGAAGCTGCTGCCTGCTGATGGTGTGGAGGGAACCCGGCGCTCCTAACCGTATATGGAGACCTGTCCCACAGCCACTGGCTTCCTGCCTTTCCTGGAATCAGTAACCCCTCAAGGACAGCCTAGGTGCAGAGAACGCACAGGTGCTCAGGTCTGGGAGAAGCCTGGGCTCTGAAAGAGGCCCCGTGGAATGTAGCAGTGCATGTGGGTAAATGTTGGGCTATGCCCCCACGGGCTGCAGCATGACCTGAGGGGGGGAGATGCAGCAGCCACGAGTGACCATGGCACCTGTGTGTCTCGTGACATACTGTGGGGCTGTAGTGGTCAGGACAGTGGGCAGCCTCGGCCGTGGCAGTAGGGCGCTGTCTCCAGCCTGGCAAGGGGGCTGTGCTTGTATAAGTGCCCATGCCTGCACTCACTGTATCACCACTACCTTATAATGCCAAGTGGCCACCAGCCAGCTGGGGCTGTTACTCTTTCTGTGCCTGCCCTGCGCTGCTTCTGCTCCCCCAAGGTCCCCTGTCCCTGTCGTGCTCCTTGGAGGGTGCGGAAGGACCGACGCAAAGAACCCATGGGACTTTGTCCTGGATGTGGAGAGAAGCTTTAGACATGCTCTGATTTCATCTCCATGAAGCTGTATGAGACATGAGCATGATGGGGGCTGGGATGAACCTACTGAGGCCCAGGAAGGCCTTGGTGGCTTGCAGAGTGGGGGTAGTGGCAGGAGGAGGGTGACAATTCCTGGTATATTTTAGAGGCAAAGCTTAAGGGGAAATACCAGAGGCTGAATGAGGAGAGGTCGTGGGCCCCTCCCAGCCATGGGACACTTTGAGGGCCAAATAGGCAGACCATGGACAGCTCTCAGCCTTTAGCCTACACATGGAGTGGAGAGCATCACAAAGGTCACCTGGTGGTCTCCAGGAAGAGAGCAGTGAGGAGGCAGGGCCAAGTGTCCCCCAGCAACCTCTGCTGCTTATGCTTGGGCTCCAGGTGCAGGGCCCTCATTCTCATCTCCTGGGTAAATTGTGAGCTTCTGCAGCCTCAGCTGACTGGGGGAATTCTCTAGAAAGAGTGTCTCCTGGGGAGCAGGATGCACTAGACATCCATAACCCACGGTGCCTGGTGGAGGGATAGGGCAGGCAGGGAGGGACATAGAAGCTCAGGTCATGCCACAGGACTCACTTCTGTTTGTGTAAGCTTCCTTCCCTCGTTTAACACAGTGCTGAACTACCTACCGGTCCATGCAGCATCCTACCCAGTCATGTCCTTTTCAGCCCTCAGTGAGGACTGGTCATTCAGGCAGGCGCATCCTTTGATGGGAAGTTGGGCCCAGGCTTAGCTGACAGAGCCATCCTGTCCCTAGGCCAGCCACTGAAGCTGGGAGATAAACAGGAAGCCCCATCTTTCTGCTCTGCAGTGTGCTGGTCTTTCCTTCCTGAAGTGCAGCTGGCTCATACATCTGGGCCTTGCTGCCCCTCGGCCTTGTACTGTCCAAGATGCCCACGCAGGCCTCTGCCGGGACCTAGGTTCTCCCTCTCCTGGGGCTGCAGAGGCCAGACGTTCAGCGGTGAGGGGTCCAAGGAGAGTCCTGGGAGACCAGGGGGGCTCTCTTCAGCCTCTGTCCCTGCACCCTACCTGGCCTGTGGGAAGGTAAGGCAACCATGTTCCTTTAACCATCAACCTCAGAGCATCGGCAGATAGGCTAGAAGGTAGTTGCGATACATGGGGAAACTGAGGCACGGTGTGGGGAGTAGCTTCCTGACTGCAGCAGTTCCTGCCTTCAGTGACACTTTAATCAGGGCGGGGCTCCTGACCCAGAGCTTCAGGCACAGATATGGGCCATGCCCATCTGGTCTCCAGTCTGCAGGAGTTGTGGGAGATAGGGGGGGTGTTGTATGTGGGGTGCCCTAGTGACGATGGGTGATGGCAGACCTGAGTAGGAGGTGCCCCTGGGTCCTTCCAATGTGCAATGACTATAAATAAGTTCCACCAGTGGGAAGAGGGCCTGAAACGGTAGGTACTTCAGGGGTGGGGAGGGGAGTCCCTGAGCACCTCCAGGGGCCCGTCAGCCAGCTCCTCCTCCTCCCCTGATAGTCCCTCCTTCTTCTGTCCCTGACACACCCAGTGTCAAGGTGAGACTCCAGTCTGCCTTTGTATCTGTCTCTGGGGTTGAGGGATGTCTGTGAGTCAGGTCCCATGATAAGATTCAGGTGACCGTGCAGGGCAAGCCGGCATGCTGAGGCTCTGAACCAAGGATCTCTTTTCTTGGGTGTGTCTCAGTCTTGGCCAGGTTGGGGTAGGGGAGACAGAGTTATCAGGAGAGGAATGCAGACACACGGGCAGCAGGTTGGCATGACTACCCACACTGGTGTGCAGTCCTTCACAGGTCTCCATAGGCAGACCCGTGGGGCTCTGGTTTGGGGTCCCCGTTCCGCCCCCGGAAGTTTGGCTGTTTTCCTATGCACTGAGCACCAGTGGGAGGGTGGATCACAGCTCTGCAACCCTCAGCCATCGCCGGCACAGCCAAGTCTGAGGACTATTTTCCCAGACTGACTTGAGCTCCCCGAGAGAAGAAGGGTGCTGCTCCTGAGCTAACCTGTTTCAGCTCTGCTCCACCTCGCTGCTCACCCAGCCAAGTCCCTTCCCTCTTTGAGCCTCAGTTTCCCTTTCAGTCCATGAAAGGATCTGAATCTAGCCAGTCCAGTGTTTGCTGATCCTTCTGTGAATGAGGGGAAGGCAGATGGCTCAGTAGTTGAGCTGGGACACAGAGAGGCAGGCCCAGGTGACATGAGAGTGGTATCTCTAGGATCTGGCTCCCACTGCTGGTGGGATACTCTGGCCCTTGTGGACAGTATGAGCCCTTGGGTGGAAACAAAGGCTAAGTGGAACAAGGCAACAAAGGGCTGAGGGTGTGGCCAGTGTGTGTGCCTGAAGTTAGGGATGGGGCCTCCACCTATCAGGTCTGCATTTAGGACAAGAATACCTTCTAAAAGCTATCTCCAGACCCTCAGGCCAACAACATTTGGATGCCATGAGCCCCTTCAACCATCATGACTCTGTTGACCATCACCTCTCCCGTGCCCTTGGGACAAATGGGGAAACTGAGCTCTGGGAAAAGAAGTGTACTATCCTAATTGGCTGGAGCCCTGTTCCCTGCCCCCAGGCGGAGGCCTGCAGCAGTCTCCTCCCCCGGCCATGTTAGAGGGAGGGTGTAGATGATGAAGCCAGCAACAACAGGCTGGGGACAGCACCTCACTCAGCACTCCACCAGGAAGCTCCCAGGCTGCCCCACCTCCATCCTAGCCCAAGTTGTCCGGCTTGGTGGGGTGGGAGAGAGGTAGGGCACAGAAAGGAGATGCCCCAGGCATCACCGGGCAGGCTGAGCCAAGTAAGGCCAGTACCATAAGGACAGCCGTGGGTGGAGAAGTTCTGCTCTGGGTGCCCTCAGTTACTGAGGTCTGTGCATGTTCTTGGTAGCTGCCCAGTCCTTGGTACCGCTGTCCTCCCATCCTCTTCCACAGGAGTCTCCCACTGTTGAGTGTCACACTGGGAACTGGGACCCTAGGGAATTACAAAGCCCCACTTTTGCCACTGAAAGACCTCTCCCTGAGTCGGGCAGTGGTGGCACATGCCTTTAATCCCAGCACTTGGGAGGCAGAGCTAGGTGGATCTCTGTGAGTTCGAGGCCAGCCTGGTCTACAGAGTGAGATCCAGGACAGTCACCAAAACTACACAGAGAAACCCTGTCTCGAAACAAACAAACAAACAAACAAAAAGACCTCTCCCACTCACAGCCTGCTGGGCGTAAGGGAAGGGAGGAAAGGCTAAGAGCATCCTTTGCTCCCTCAGGCCATAGGGATAGTCATCCCAGAGCGCCTGTGTCAACTGGGCCTGGAGGCTTTCAGCTCTATCTGCACACCTCTGGAGTTGGGGGGGCGGGGGGGGGGCTCACTGTCAGCCTGGGCAGCTCTCCTGGAAGGAACAGCCTGGCATCTAGAAGAGTCTGAGCTGACTTTGAGCTGGCATTTGCCCTAGTCCTGGGCCTTGAGACCCACAGAACAAGCTATTCTCAGACCATCTGTCGGTTGTCCTGCCCACCCCTGGTTCCCATCCAGCTGCATACCACCAGCACTAGTTCCTGGACACAGTGGGGCAGGCTTCCCCTTTCAGGTACCTACACAGTGTCACACACATTTAGGGAGGATCCTAGGTCCTGTGTCCCAAAGAAGTAGAAGACCCCTTCTGTCATTCTCATGGACGTAGTCTTGTGGTCCCATTACCTCTGTGGAATGGGAAGGACCTGGTTACACCTTCTGTTTCATACTGTCACCAGCCAGGTTGTCCCTGAACACAGGCTGGGTCTCGGGCTGCTTCAGGGCTAGACCCTGGAGTCCCAGGGGAACAACAACCCCCGCCCCCACAGTTTGGTCAGCCCCCCCTCCCTTAATGCCCCCCTTAGCCCCTTGGCCTCCTGTTTGTTCACTGACGGATCCCTGTTATCAGCAGAGAACACACACAGGAAGTCCGGAGGGAAGGGCCCATCCCAATCCCGATTTACACGGGATGGAGCATAAAAAGCCACCCTTCCTTACCCGGGAGGAGCCTCTGTGCACCAGCAGGCTGCTGTGCAGGCCCCAAGGAAGGCTGAAGCTGAGAGGACAGGCGGGCAGACCTGAAGAGGGGTCTTGGGCAGCAGAAGCTCCCTTGAAGGGCAGGGTGGCTCATGGAGGCAGCAGAGATGGCCACGGCCAGGCCTGGGCGGCATCAGGTATGCAGGATGGCCCTGCAGGGTAGAGAGCGGGTGGAGTGGGCCCCGAGTGCCCCAGGACCCGTGAGATGGCTGCAGAACCCATCAGCTGGGTCTGGGTCTGCTCAACTGTGAGGTATGCTGTCCTCACTGTGAGCCATTCCTATCTAGCAGAGGAGAACGTAGGGTCTACTGGCCTAGCACTTGTTGGGGCGTGCGGGGGGCGGGGGCGCTCAACCATGACTCCACACCTCACCCCTAGATGTCTAGCAGCATGGAACCAACCCCTGAAAGGAGAAGCTGAGAGCAGCATGGTACCCAACCCACCTACCTCCCGGCCCCACTCTTTCTCTTTGGAGGATCCCCTGGGTAGGCGTCAGAGCTCAGCCCAGCAGGACTCTCTGGTCAAGGCTTATGCCCTCTACTCTTCTGAGACAGGGCTGGGGTCTCCTAAGCTTGTCGTTAGTAGTAAATGAGCATTCCTGGAGAATGGGGGTGCTGGCCAGAAATCAGCCCCAAGAGTGGGAACCCTAAAGCCACGTTTGTAACCTGGATGAGCCATGCACGCCAAGCGAGGGGCACAGAACGTGGGGCTAAGGCTGAGCCCATCTCTTTTGGGCTTCAGGCTTAGGGACAGCTTCATGAGGTGCAGTTGGTCACCTGAGTCATCTTATCGGTCCATCTTGGCTCCTGGTGAAGCCTCTTATGCTCCCTCTTTCTAGTCCCTGAACCCTGTTCCCAGGCCCCCAAACCACAGTGGGGCCTCTTGGACCCTCGTGCAGTGGCATCTCTGGGAAGCACACCTTTTTTCAGACTAGAAGATGGTTAGGTCTCGGCCTAGGTGAAGGCAGAGACCAGTGAAAGCTACCGAAGTCGCCCTTTGCCCAAAGGACTGGAAAGAGAACCGCCAGCCAGAGGTTCAAAAGATCACAGCTCCAGGAACCAAAAGGGGGTGGGGGTAAAGGCTGTGCAGGATGCTCTCCCCCTCAGAGCACCAGGTGCAGCTCTTTGCTGCTGAGACTGAATAAGTGCTTTGCATGAGCTGAGGGGGCCAGGAGACCCAGGAACCCCATTTATGGCAATAGGTACAGATTCATTTGCCAGGAGGATTTCTAGTTCAGGGTGGTAGCCGCTGAACAGAGGAGAGGACTTGTTCAGGAACCCTCCCTTCAGCTCCTGTGCACCAACCAAGGTGGGCCAGGCTGGAGCTCTGAGCTGCTAGGCCTTTCTTGTTAGTGTATAGGCTCTGCACAGGGCACTCGGCTTCGTGAGGGGAGGGAGACATCGGTTCTACTCAGCAGAATTCCCACCTGTCCTTAGGGAGCTCAGGGATGGAGGCAGAAGTCACATTTGACAGATGGTGGGGAGCCGGGCAGGTCAAGCCTATCCCTAGCTAGGGCATGCTGTGGTTTCTGTGGTCAATGACTGCTTCTGCCAGCAGATCTAGGCCAGATCAACCTGGGACATGATGGGTAGACAGAGGGGGTCTGTAGGTTGAGAGCAGGTTGAAATGCCATAGCTATATGGAAGCCTGGACTCCAAGCTTCTTCCCAGGCCCTGGACATGAGAGTAAGCAAAACCCCAATTCACGCTCCATCTCTGACCCACAGCCTCCAGCAGCAGCAAGACGCAGGCTGTTCCATCTGCTCATAAGGACGTCTGCCACCAGTACCCAGGGGATGAGTGAAGACCGGACCACAGGTGAGTCCCCAGCAAGCCTTCTGGATAGCAGTCAGGAGTCCTGCCTTGCAGAAGCATGCACAGGAACATGTGTTAACCAAGACATAGCTGGGGTTGGAGAAATTGACAAGGCTCATGCACTTTAAGAGCCAGGACAATCACAGAACAAATTCAGAAATGGAGCCTGGGAGAGAGGAAAGATGACTAGCCCAGAAGTCTGGGATGGGAGTGGGGGGCTGTCAGCTCATAGGAGGAGCACCAGGGGTGGCCCTGACTGTCTCAAATAAGGCAGTGACAACCAACCAAAGTGGCCAAGGGCTGTCAGGAGAGGTCTCTGGCAGGTCTCCCTATGTAAAGGCCGGTGGCTGCCAAGGAGACTTGTGGTCACACCTAGTTCTCATCTGGGCTTTGCCCAGTGATCTCTGTCTAGTATTGGGGCTGGGTGTGTCATGATGCCCACCCTTTACATGGCTGCAGGGCCAGTCTGACTTCACCTCTGGCCTGGCATCTAGTTGTCTGGTCAGCTGTTGTCTTCTAATACCACCCAGGAGCAAGCATCAATCAGGAGGCTCGAGAGTTAGCCGGATCCTTGCGGGAGCCATTCAAAACCTCCTGACTCCTAGAACTTGTTTAGTCCTGTGTCCCCAGCAGCCACACGATCCTGCTGCGGAGCTGGGGACAGTCAGGATGCAAGAAGGGGGCTCGGGCGGCAGCACTCAGAGGCTGGATCGCATCTAGACCACCAGTGTCTGGTTTACTCGCTACAAAGCTCTTGGGAGCCTCCGCTGCTGAGACTCAGTTTCCCTATCTGCAAAATGGGATCGGACAGAGCGGGCAGCCCATGGGGAGGGGGTAGGGCTCCATGGAGCTCAGGCTTCAGGTGGGGCGGGGCCGAGGGCGGGGCGGGGCGGGACTCGGGGCCCCCCACGGCGCGGCGGCGGCGGTGGCGCGTGCGCGCCCCGGACCGCGCGGTGAGTGCGGAGGGAGCCGGGGGCCGGGGCGCTGGGGGCAGGGGTATGGAGGCAGTCCGGGAGGGTCTGGGGTAAGCGGGACTGTCGGGTGCCAAGCTTAGAGCTGGCCACCCAGGCGACACCGAGCGATCGCAGGGACCCGAGAGGTGAGCGCGCGGGGGCTGTGGTTGGGCCCTGTACGGACCCCAAGCCCCAGCCTGGGTCCTGAAGCCGCCGGGAAAAAATGAGCCAGCGGCCTTGAGCAATGGCGACCCCTGCTGGCTGCCGAGGCACCTCTCCCCTTACTCATCCTGGCCATACGACCTCCACCATGGTCGCAGCAGCCCACCCTCCCCCTCCCCACCACCTCTCAGCCAGATAGTCCTGGGGAGGGGGGGAGTTTCACACTCTGCCCCTACCACCATGGAGCCTGGAAAGGGGCAGGAGCCAGGCCGTGGAGAGGAATCCCCCACCAGACCAGACTAGTCCGTCTGGTCACCATGCCTGTCTGGTCTCTCCACACCAATCCGTGGGTGCTGTTGTCCAGACACTTGTCCCGCAGCAAAGGGACCCAGGGCCCTCTCCCTACAGTGTCCAGGCTCCTCCTCTGCCGAACCAGTCTCCCCCATTGGGGGCTGTTGAGCGGTAGGTGGAAAGGGGAGATGGCTGCTAGGGCCCATGGTGATACTTAAGGGTTCATGATTACTTACTTGTCAACTTGAAGGCCACACCACAGCCTGTGCCTGATGCGTGGCTGGGGGCACCTAGTGACTGAACACCAAAGGAAATGAGCTGCCGGCCCAGTGTTGTGCTGGCCTCAGGCAAAACATGACTTTTCAAAAATTGCTTCTCCTGTTTGAAAACACATTCCCCTTTCTAGACAGCCTATTCCGAAGAAGGTGCTGTGGACTAAGATCTGTGGGGGCAATGACCTCAGGAGAGGAACCCTCCAGGCCCCAGGGGCTAGGCACACAGGAATTGCAAACTTCTGACACCCCCTTGCCTGCGTCATATGCTGGTTTATATCTCTTTCTAGGCGCCATTCCTCAGGGCCACCTGATTTTTGCTTGGCATGGTAGTGCCTTCCCCTGAGGGTGCCCTCCCTTCAGGGTTAATTTTCCTGAGTCAGCTCAGATAGACCGCAGGACATACTCCTGCTTGGATATTTCCCTGTGGTCTTCTTGCCCCCACATTAAGTCTCAATGACTCATCTCAAAGCTCTCTGCCCTCCTTCAACGGATAGGGGGTACAGGCAGGAGGCTCCCTATCACCTTCCTGCCTATGACTGTGGTGCAGGACTGAGTTGACTGAGTATCCCTGAGGAGTCAGGGGCTTGCTCTCCCCTTGAGTAGGGGCTGGGCCAGCAGCCAGAGCTCAGTAACCATTTAATGCCATCACTGTTTACTACTGGATGCACCGATGGAGACAGGGACCTCAGATATTCTAGTGGTGTCTGAGAAAATTGAGTCTCGTAGAATGGGATTACCCCAGGCTCCTTTACACCTGTCTCCTGGCCCATTCCTTTCGGGTAGGGGGTCTATAGGGCTGTGCAGAGTCTGGGGAGTAGGGAGCTGCCCCTTTAGGAAGCACCAAGAAGAACCTTGAGTGGAGCCCTGCAGGCCTCCCACACTCTTGACTCTGTGCAGGACAGTGGGACAGCTGCCCCTCCCCTTTGCATAGGTCTGACTCAGCCCCTTTGGCGTTGTCACAGACCATTAAACCTGGGTTGGGGTTTCTTGCATTCCTCACCATCCTTCCTGCTCCCTAACACACGGCCAGAAGAAGGCTGGAGATGGGCTCCAAAGACATGGGGGGGGGGTTCCACTATGCCCCAGGCGTGAATGCAATAGGACCACTGCCCTGGCAGCTGGGAGGTGTTTATATGCATACTCAAGTCCAAGAGAGGTATCCCCTGCAAGCTGTTGACCCCCCCTGCTGGTCAGAACATGCACACCCGCAGGTAGCCGACATCTGTACATTATGAAATCCATAGTGCCTTGCAGGCTTGCTGAACATTTGACCAGCCCAGAGTCCCCTGCTGTGTTGATCTCAGCTCCATCCACAGCATTCTGTTTCAGATGGTGGAAGATACAGGAAAACCCTCAATCCAGCTTGGGGTCGGGGAGACTGGCTTAGTTGCCCAGGCACCACCCAGAGCCTCGGCTGCCCTCTGGGTTTTGCCCCTGACCCTAGCAGCATTCAGGTTCCTCCTGCCTCAGGAGTCCTGATCTGAACAGGCCTAGCTCTCTGTGTTTGGTGAGGGGCCAGCTTCACTGGCAGAGATGAGCCAGAGGCAGGAGAGAGCTGGCACTACTTTTGGATGCTCTCTCCTGGGGTAGTGGTGGCCTCGGCACCCAACAAGTGGGTACAGACTCTGCTGGAAGCCTGGGCTGGGGTTTCCATAGGGGATCGACAGGACCCAACCTTTTTCCTTAGGCCACCAAAAGAAGAAGGCTACCCCACTTAGAGACGCAGACCATGTGGGGCTCCCTAGAGCTGCTTGTGGCATGGTGTCTAGTGTTGGCGGCTGGTGGTACTGAGCATGTCTACAGGCCCAGGTGAGCAAGGGCTTGGGTCTTGGGGTGCTGGGGTCATGTTCAGAGCCCCTTAACCCTGCCCAAGGTGGGCCCTAATACTTGGAGATAATTCCCTGTGGGCTCCGGCTGAAGATCCTGCTCCCAGCAACATTGGGAAGCCCCCATGCCCCATGTTTCCACATACTTGGGCTGGGAGAGTCTCGGCTCTGGACCCCCTGCTGACCCCATCTCCTATAGCCGCAGAGTGTGCGCCGTGGGGGTTTCCGGAGGCTCTGTCTTGGAGTCCTATGTGCAGCGTGTGTATCAGCCTTTCCTCACCACTTGCGATGGACACCGAACCTGCAGCACTTACCGGTGAGTGCCCACTGCCCACCCCACCATTGCCAAGCAGAAGCAGTCCTCGGAGCCCAAGAGCCTGCCTCACCCTGAGCTGAGGAGCTGAAGCCAAAGCAGTGAGGCATTCTTGACATCAGGGATCAAGGTGGCCTCTCGGCTTTGGAGGCCTGTACCCAGGGATGTTGTGTAATCATGCCCAGCATTGTCCCCTGAGAGGATGTCACCTTAAAGGGCATCCCCCATATGTATAGGGGCTTCTCATCACATCAGTACCCCTCTTCTTTCAGAGAGTTTACTCCTTCCTTCCCAGCATTGATAGCTAGAAGTCCTCATCCATAGGGACAGTGCCCATGTGGACCATCCGATGTCCCATCAGGCTAACAGAACAGTCTGAGCAGCACAGGACACAGCCAAGAAGGCCGGTCCTTGTTCTGATGTGGGGAGCTCAGCCTCCTCCCTGCCTAGAAACACCTGAGAAAGGCCTAGGTGCTCAAGATGCCAGATTTCAGAGACTCCTGAGCCTCCAAAGTTATGGGAGTGCTGGGGTTGGAGAAGCAGCTTTAGCCCAGGGAAGGACAGCAAGCCAGACTTCAGCCAGCTCTGAAGTGACCACTGCAGGAGAGGCTAGCTCTGTGCTACTCCCTGGGCCAGTGTGTGTCATAAGGAGCTGGGTGGATTGAGTGGCACACACAAGCTTGTGTGCTGAGCCTGTCTGTGCCAAGCGCGCTGGGCCTTGGGAAGGGAACCTCTGAGACCCTGAAAGTGATGCTGGCTAGGTATCCACAAACAGATGAGGTGGGCAGGGTGTATCCTACCCAAGGAAGGCCTGGCCCGGGTCATCCCATGTTGGACCCCTCTGAACTACCCTTACTCACCCCAGAACCATCTACCGGACTGCCTATCGCCGCAGCCCTGGGCCGACTCCCACCCGGCCTCACTATGCCTGCTGCCCTGGTTGGAAGAGGACCAGCGGGCTCCCCGGCGCTTGTGGAGCAGGTGAGGGCAGTGTGAGAGCTGTGTCTCATGTGAGAGACCCCACTTCCAACTGCCCAGCAGAGGCCCAGCTGCCTTCTATCCCCCAGGCAGTGCATCCTCACTGCAGGACAACCCTTCCTGGCTGTCACAGGGCTCTGGGGACCCTCCTGAGTTGGTGACAGACAGGCCTCTCCTACCCACAGCAATATGCCAGCCTCCATGTGGGAATGGAGGGAGTTGCATCCGCCCAGGCCACTGCCGCTGCCCTGTGGGATGGCAGGGAGATACTTGCCAGATAGGTAAGCCCCACTCTTCTTGAAGGAGAGGTCTTTTTGGTGCCCTGTATATCCTAGGGTACTGCTGGTTGAAGTTGGTTTTCAATGGTAGGTGGGTCTCCACAGGGGTCTGTGGCCAGGACCTTGCCTTCTGTAGACACTACTAGCTTGACATCTTCGTTTCCTACAGATGTGGATGAGTGCAGTACCGGAGAGGCCAGTTGTCCCCAGCACTGTGTCAATACTGTGGGCAGTTACTGGTGCCAGTGCTGGGAGGGGCAGAGCCCATCTGCAGATGGGAGGCACTGTCTGCCCAAGGAGGGGCCCCCCCTGGTGGCCCCAAACCCCTCAACAGGTAATCTTACTTGTCCACCCTGCTGTGACTGACTTGGGTGGTTGTTGGGTTGTGAGCACTGTTCTGTAGTTGAGCTGAGCATAGGGGACACAGAGGGCAGCTAGCCCTGGGTGGAGGTCAGCACTATGCTGTGAGGGCTGAGTCCAGACATCCTGGGCTGGAGGGAGGTTCTTTGTCTGGGAAGAAGGGGCCACTTTCCTCTGGAGAGGTTTCTGGAAGGTGTTGTGGGGAGGTAAGGTATACCTGGAGCCTCATCTCAGCCAGTTGAGTGAAAAAGAGCCTCACCCTGGGTCTGGCAGCCTGGAGACACCGTGTCTTTGCCGGTGACAGCACATTATTACTTTTGGTACGCGCTGTGACACTTCAAACTCGTACCGTGAGTAATAATGCGCTGTCAGCAGCCCAGCGCCGGGAGTGCATCGAACCTGGGTAAGGACCACCATCGGCATGCAAGACCCAAGACCTGGGCACCCAGGGGCGGTCAGGGGCCACTCTGAGCTGTGCGCTTTGATAGGGCCTGAGACCTACAGCAACTTCCAGAGGCTGTGCGTCTCCAGGCTCTGCTCCCACAGCTGTGGGACACAGGTCTTCCTAAGGCTAAGAGCTCATGGTGGGGGCAGGAAACGCCCCTGATTGGCACCTGGATCTGCCCCCAGGCGTGGACAGCATGGTGAGGGAGGAGGTGCACAGGCTGCAGTCCCGGGTTGATGTGCTGGAGCAGGTGAGGCTTGGTTGGGAGTGGGTCTGGCTGGTGTCCACAGACCCCACAGTCTCTGGGGCTGTGGTTCCAAACCATGGGATGGTTGGGGGTTTTATGGGGAAGGGCTATAGGGATTCTGGCTTTCTTACTATGCCAGGCGGTACTATGTGGGATTCCCCAGGCTGGGAGGAACAGTTCAGAGCCCACTTAGGCTGTTATACAAAGACTCTGATAAGTCTCATCAAACCACAGGCCCCATGACTCTCCTAGCTTGTCTCTGGGATCCCGAGACCTTTTAGCTAGGTTCTGGGTATGTCATACACCTGTGTCTGCTAGGCTTTGGGATCCTTCTGTTTGCAAGCAGGGTCCCCCACTGCTACAGCTCGGTAGGGAACTTACCGAATCCCTACTGGTCCTTCCTTCCGTTCCCATGGAATAGAGGTAAAGAGGGGCCACTTGGCTTTTTACAACCTCCTTTACAGAAACTGCAGTTGGTGCTGGCCCCACTGCACAGCCTGGCCTCTCGGGCTACAGAGCATGGGCTACAGGACCCTGGCAGCCTGCTGGCCCACTCCTTCCAGCAGCTGGACCGCATTGATTCATTGAGTGAGCAGGTCTCCTTCTTGGAGGAGCAGCTGGGGTCCTGTGAGTGCCACACCTCCCCACCCGCAGAGATCCCAGGGAACCCGTGGGGTGGATGGAACTATCACTGGGGGATGGGCAGATCTGCAAGTTTGAACCCTCTTTCCTCTCCTGCTCTAGGCTCTTGCAAAAAAGATCTGTGATAGTATCTCACCACCCAGGTTGGACTGAGATGCCACCCTTACATCCCCTTCCAGCCGGAGTTCAGGTGCTATCTGGTGGCGCCTGTGAGCAGAAGGCCCTGCTTGTCTGTCCCTCTTTCTTAGGAGGCTCCTAGGACTTGGGCCTGGGGGGTGGGGTCTTGTGACTCTGCCAATGGGGCTTTCCAGAAAAGGTACGAGAGCACCCTGTCCAGAGGTGAGGAAGGGGTTGTCTCTAGCTTTGTCATAATAAAGCCTGGACTTCAGCTGCTGTCAGTGGGTGAATTGGGACTGGGCGTGCACGGTGCTCCTGCCCTGTAGGCTTCAGGTAAAGTGAAGCGCCTCTCTTCAAAAAGGGGCTGCAGCAGGCAGGCAGTCCTGAGGCCCCAGTTTTCCCTTGGTGAGTCGCTGGTTCCACACACAGCCAGAGGCGAAAAGGCAGGTCTTCAGCCTCTCCTCTCACACCACCAGGCCCACGGTGTGCCCACCCTTCAGTTCCGTGGACCCCACACATTCACTGAGAAAAGCACTGATCACCGCTCACCCCCTGCAGGCAATTTGGGGGGAGCAGGGAACCTACACACTGCAGCCCCAGAGAAGGGACATGTGGGTGGCTATATAACACCCGTACCACCCTGTATCCCTGGATGGAGGCCTGGGGAGGGGCTCTTGCCCCTCCTCTGAAAGAGACCCCTGGTCTCGAGGCACTTCTCAGAGTTCATTTATAAAAAAAAAAAAAAAAAAAAAAAAAAGGAAAAAAAGAAGAACCAAGTACAGCAGTGATTTGTGACTGAGACCGTCGGACAGTGGGGTTGTCAGCCTCTGCCCTCTGGTGCTGTGACCCAGGTTTCCTTGAGACTGGGAGACCAAGTTCCTCCTCTTCCTGATGGCCTGATACAGGCCATGGCCTGATTCCTGAATGTTGATCCTGCACCATGGGGTGGGCCTTGAGTGGCGTGTTGCCCAGTCCTAGGTGCCTCATGGTCTTTTGGGTCAGCCCACCTGCTGGATGGCCACACCTGGATTCTGGAAGCACAGGCATGAGGCGGGGAAGTTACATGGGGTCCCGGGTCTAAGGCCTACATCAGAAGGGGCTTCCTGTTTCCAGGCCCCAGTGAGAGCCAGGTCAGCAGGGAAACGGGATAAGGTGATGTTTGGTAGGTGGGAGGGTATGGCCTTCTGTCCATCCTCCAGCCTCTGCTTCCCACCTGCCTTCCTCCAGCTCCCCTGCCTCTGGCCTGGGCTACTGGGCTGCCACGACCCCAGGCTCCTTAATGGCAAAGTTCTCCTGGGACATCCTGGAAATTTGTAGAAAGGTGCTCCTCATGGACTGGTAGCATGTGTCCACAAGCTTGGTGACATCAGCATCTGTAAGGCCACTGGTAGGGACAGCATCCAGCACTTGTACCCTGATTGTTCCTGGGGAGGAAGCAGTGGATGTCAGGGGCTTAGAGGCCCCACTGATGCTGCCACCCACCTCCTCCTCACCTGGCCTCCTGCTGCCCAGCCTCTCTTCAGAGCCTGGCCCGCATCCCCAGCTCCTGGGCCAGGCACACGTTTATAATTGAGGCAACATGGAGACGTGCGACCCAGTAAGCATTAGCAACTCTACCCTTCCCTGTAGCCACTGCCCATGACTCGGGACAAATTGCACTCAGTGACCCCTGAGCATCCCTTATCACACTTGCTCCATCAGTTCTCCATGGTGCTGGGCATTAGGGGCTCAGATGCTGGAGACAGCCTGGCTCGTTCCACTGCCTTAAACCTCTGGCCCTGCTCTGACTCCCAAGGTCACATGAAGGGGCAGGGTACCTGCCTGGAAGCTAGTGACATAATGGAGGAGGCAGAGGCTGACCTTGTGAGTTGCCCGTGTAGGGGAACCTAGATAGCTGAGAATTCCCACTCCTCACCAGCAGAGGTCACCACAGGCTCCTATTTGTGTTATACAGCCTGGACCAACAGTGATCTCAGGAACTGGACCATGTTTAGAACCTGTTTTTCTCCCCCCCCCCCCCTTTAAAAAATGATTTTTATTATGTATACAGCGTTCTGCCTCCATGTATGCCTGCAGGCCAGAAGAGGGCACCAGATCTCATTACAGATGGTAGTGAGCCACCATGTGATTGGTGGGAATTGAACTCAGGACCTCTGGAAGAGCAGCCAGTGCTCTTAACCTCTGAGCCATCTCTCCCGGCCCCTAGAACCTGTTTTTCAATTTGAAAAATTGGAAAACCCACCCAGAAAGAGCAATGAGATGATGCAATGCTGGGCCTATATTCATTCACTCATTCATTCATTCATTCACCACCCAGATGTGGGAACTCCACTACTAAGGGCCCAGGACTCTGTCTGATAAATTAGTCATCCTCTGCTACCTAAGGAGCTGCAGGCCAGCCTGGGGCACATGAACCCCTATCTCAAAAATAAGTAAGAGAGAGCATGTCAGGCTTGTGAGCCCCTGCCTGGCTCCGATGGGCTCACCTGAGGTGAAGAGTTTCTTCTTGACATTGTAGAAGGAAGAAAAAGATGAGTACACCACGGGGATGATGGGCACCTGTGGACAGGGACACATGCTGAGGGCCAACACTACAAGGGGGCCTTGGCTCCTGCTAGCTGTCCTTACGGCTGACCGACCCCTCCATCCAGGTGGCCTGGTGTTTCAGACTCATGCTGCCCTCCACATCACCGCCTACAGGAAGCTCTCTGGGCTAGTATTTTTTGTCATAGGTCCTGTCCCCCCCCACACACACACACTGGGTCACAAAACATCCTAGAAGTGGGAGGGTGGGACTCCATTTAGCACTGGGGAGGTGGAAGATGTTGATCCTCCCTTCCCCTCCCATCCTGCCTCTCATTCCCAGGAAACTAGGGGAGGGGGTTGGAGCCTGCTGGTGTTCCTGGAAGGTCCCAGGGTCAACTCCAGTGATGACAGTTGGCGCTGGGGGTAATAATTAACCCTGGGCACCAGAGCCTGGGCAGAAGGGTAGGTAGGCTGCACCCTAGACAGGCCCTGGGGGAGGGGCAGGAAACGATATATCTGGATTCTTCTGCCCCCACCACAGCCCCAGTCTCTCTCTTTTCCCAGGATCTGCCAATACCTCAAGGCAAGGAGGGCAGGAGGCTGAGGCTTGCCAGGCAGCCAACAGTAAAGCAGGATAAAAATCCCTTCCCCTGTCCCCCAGTGTGGCTTCCCCACACCAGGGACCCCCTGATCCATGGCTCAGGGACACTCCTGATACACTGTCTTCTCCCACCACAGGCTGAGGGACAAGGGAAGTCCAAGGCCCAGGACAGAGCTTACTTGTGCTGCTCAGAACTGGCTTTGCCACTAGCCTGTGCCTGCTCCTCAGCCTCACCATGATCAAGCCAGGGTCCGAGGCATCAGGTGAATTTCTAGGCACAATCTGCTTTATTATGTTAACAAACTGCCACCTCACTGGCCTCCCACCCCTGCTTTTCATGAAACCCCAAATGAAGGGGACTACCCAGCTGGCCAGCTAGGGTTTGGGGAGGCTGGTGTTCAAGCTCAGAGCTGTCAATGGTCAGGTGCTAGGGGCTGAACTGGTGGGGAGGCCCTTTCCCAACAGGGTGGAGAAGGTCCCTGAAGGCCAGCAGTTCCCAGTCTGGCTGGGATACCATCTTCAACCTTGAACCACCCTGACCCGTATCCCAGCCCCCTACCGCAGGAGAGCATGGCCTACCTGGGCCTGGATGGCCAAGTAGAAGGCACCTTTTTTAAAGGGCAACAGGTCCCCATTGTCGTTGCGTGTACCCTCTGGGTAGATCCATACTTTGAGCTGCCGGAAGAAAGGAGAAAGCTGCTTAGGCTGCCCCCACCCTGCTTAGCCACCCCAGAGAGCTGTACTGCCCTCCCCTGGAGCCCCTTTGGCTGTGCTGTGCCTATACTCACATTGTCCTTGACCATGAGGTCACCCAGGTCAGCCATCAGGGTCATGGCAGTTCTGGCCCGCTGGCGGTTGATGAAGTAGACACCCCCGAGGTACATGATGAGGCCCACAGGCCCCGTGAACAGCAGCTCACGCTTGGCGATCTGTACACAGCGCTTAGGGAGAATCTCCATGAGGCCTACGTGGATGGGAGTGCAAGAGGGAGAGGAAAAGAGAGAGAGAGAGAGAAACAGTGAGAGACAGAGGCCGAAGAGAGACATAGATGGAGACAGAGATGTGTAAACAGAGAGAGGACAAGAAACAGGAGAGATAGAGAAACATAATGAGAGACAGACGCGGGCAGGCGAGTCAGAGGAAGCAGAGACAAGAGAGACAGAAAGACCCAGGGAAATGAGACACAGGAGAGAGAAGGGGAGAGACAGGGACAGAGGGGAGAATGGAAAAAAGACAAAGACAGACAAGGGGGCGGGTTACGGGGACGAAGGGAGAGCAGCTTCAGAGCCCACCTTGGCACTCCCGGGGAGAAGGGGATGATGCCCCACCTGTCAAGGCCCCTGCCTCTGATGCAGTCCTGTGCCTCATGTCTGGCACAGCCTGCTGCTGCTCTCGTTGCCCAGCTTGAGGGAAGCCTGTGGCTAGAGAGACACATAGGTCTTGTCCCGCACCAGCCCCAGGTAGAGGCTTCAGCCTCTAGGATGAAAAACCCTCTCTGTGGCGAAGCCTTGGTGGCAGCCTACCCATCATGTCCAGGATGCTCTGATGATTAGAAATGATGACACAGGGACCATCCACCTCCAGTTTCTTCTGGCCTCTGACCTCAAAGCGAAGGCCATACACGTACTTGAAGGACCGCACGAACCAGCTGATGATGCTGAGGGCAGAGATACCAGGAACCTAAATGAGCTCCCATAGCCAAGGGAGGGTTCGTGCAGGGGCAAGCTGGGGAGAGGGTACAGCAGGCAGCACAGGGCAGGAGACTTGAGCAGACAGAGTCCTGGGGGCCACTTAGCCCTGCCACCTACCCCCAAGGGTACCTGAAGTGTTCTGTACTCAGAACACTTCATTCAAAAGAGGCTGTCACAAGCACTGACCCTATCTCCTGATTTGCCTACTGGAACAGGACATTTGCTTGTGACAGAGGGAAGTGGAGGTACCACCACACGGACCCCAACACACGCCATTCTACATGTACATTAGTATATGCCGTCACTGGGTCTCCAGCAGTCCTGAGGGAAAGGGCCATTACAGTCTGCTGAGTGCCTGCTGGGTCCCCAACAGTCCTGAGGGAAGGGGTCCCTCACAGGCTGTAGAGCTATTTCTAGGCAGTGCAACAGATTCAAAGCTGGTTCTTCACTCTTACTTTTTAAAAAAGTATGGTAAAACACACATGCCATGAAAATTTCCATTTTAACCACCTTTATGCACACAGCTTAGTACGTCAAGGCCATCAGTGCTGGACTGCTACTGCCACCATCTCTCCACAGAACTTTCTCTTTCCAAACTGATACAATGTCCCCATAACCCCTGACTCCACCTGTCCCTGCCCTGGAAACTCCCACTGCTCTGTATCCCCAGAGCTCCTGTCTCCGCGGACCCCATACAAGCCTCCTGCAAGGCTTGTCCTCATCAAGAACCCAGCCGTGGGGAGAGCAGCTCTCACCGATGGGGAAACTGAGTCTTGGGGAGGCAAAAATGCTAGTGCAGATGATGACACCAGCCATTGCTCCCCTCAGCCTGGAAATCTGGAACCCCTCCTCAGCCCTGCCAGCTCAGGCCATCTTGTCTTCAGGCCAGAGCGCCCCATCTACTGCAGGGGCAGGTAGGCTGGTTTCAGATCCTCATGAAAGAGTGGTCAGTGCTCAAGTCTTCACCCATTCCTCATCTCTAAGCCATGGCTGCTGGAATCCCCAGGAGGCTCCAAAGGGACAGGGAGGGGACTTAGAGAAGAGAATGTATCAACACAGGGAAGGAACTGTCCAGTCTCACTAGCCACCAAAGGCATGCACACTAAGGGAGACTAACAGGGCTGGAACACAGGCACCTGCTAGCTCTCTGGGCCATAGCCAGATGTATCTGGACGGCAGGTTGGTGGCTAGCCAGGTTCCCAGGAATTCTCCCTAAGGCAGTGACCCAGAGGTGTGGAGATAGTTAAGATTCGAATCAGGGAATCTGGAAACACTGGCACCAGCACCACAAGGCAGAGGAAATGCAACAGCGTTAAGACTGACTTACTGGGAAGAACACAAGATTTACTGGAGAGGGTGTGTATGATGGGGGTGGAACCCAAAGCCTCTGGCAGCCACACCCCAAACTCAAGATGAAAGCTGAGCATCCCCAAGGCTGCCTCTGAAATGCTCCAAAGTTCCAAACTTTCTAGACAGGGGTCACACGTGGAAAGTCCCTCAACTGAACTCACACGACAGACCACAGTCAAAGGCGGGCGCACTACAGATGTTCTAGGAAGTTACCTCTGGGTATGTACAATGCACATTTCACACACACACACACACACACACACACACACACACACACACACACACACACGCAAGGTTCAAGGCCAAGATACCTCATGAGAAACGTATAAATCCTCCCAAATCTCAAATCATCCAAAATATAAACAACTTTATTTCCAAGCTTTCTTTTACTCTTTTAAAGAAAAAAAAAATTTTTTTTAAAGATAGGGTCTCACATAGCCTACGCTTACTAAGGAGCCAAGAACGGCCTTGAACTCTTGCCCCTCTTGCCTCTAATACTGGGCTTACAGGAATGTAGACCACACCTGGCTTTATGCAACGGTGGCTTCCTGTATGCTAGGCAAGTGCTTGGCCAGCCGAGCTATGTTCCCTGTGGAGCAGCTCAGATAAGGGAGAGCCCGTTAACAGGTAGTTGTCACTACAAACTCATATTCCCATGTGCTGCTGCAAAGAGGAGAGTCTCCAGCCACATCCAGACTGTGCTCTCTGGTAGTGGCACGCACATGTGCCCTCTTTCTGTCTCTCCAGTCCTGGGTGGGAGGGGGGCAGAGTTTCATGCAATACAATACTAAGTAAGCATTCTACCACTGAGTTACATCCCTCAGTACCCCTCCCCATTTTGGGTGACAAAATAGACATATCATTATGGGCTGGGAGCATGGCTCAGTGGTAGAAAACTGGACCAGACTGCATGAGGCCCTGGGTTCCGCCCATCCATCAATTAATCAATAAATGAGTTTCTCCCTGATGACGGGGCCAGCTAAGCTCTGCGGAGGTGGTGTAGCTGGTAGACACCAGAAGTCTAGGTTGGAATCCTCATTCTAATGGGAGAGACACCATCAGGTACCATGCCTAGGACTTGAGGCCCATCATACAGCTCTGCTCAGATACAGCTATTGGGGAGACCTTTAAACCCACTCTACAAAGGCTGCACAAACTCAGGTCAGCAAGGTTAGTGACCTGTCCCCAGGAATGAAGAAGCCACGTGGACCCAAGTCCACCTCCTAACACTGCTCCCAGCCAGGTGAGGTGTATGGTCAGAGGGCACCCCAGGGCAGGGCCATGGCTCCTACACTGCCAACTGGATTTGTTGGGTTCCAGCAGTCCATCCTGAGGCTCCTTCTGTCCTATCTGCCTGCTTTGTTGGCTTGGCAGCTTGGCCCCACCCAGCCACAAAGTGGCTCCCCTGAAGGGCTGTGTCATACCCCGTATGACAACCTGAGCTGCCAACCCAATCTAGTCCAGAACCACCCCTATCCTTTCCCCTAAAGGAGCTACAGTCCCAAAGCCCTGTACCGAGGATGAGATGCCATGTTGGCCCCTGCTGCCTCTCAGGTGTCTGAGTGCCTGGGGACAGAGTGAGTGCCCAGCCTGTTGCTCTGGAAGCATGGTAGGCAGCTGTCAGGCCGGGGCCCCTTGGACGGCTCCTGAGCTCCTGCTCTGGATCAGTCTATAATTCAGAGCCTGGCTCACTGCACTCCATCTGTGACCTGACCTCCCTGAACCTCTGTTACCACCTATGCAAGGGCAAGGATGAAAGGAGCCACCTTCCGGGGGGCTGACGGATGCAGATACTCCACACACTGTGGACCTTTATCAACAGTAGCCTGGTGATTGGGGCACAGGCAGAAACAGAACAAGAGAGGAGCCCTCTGACCTGCTTGGACCCCTCCCACACTTGCCCCAGGTAGTGGGAAGCAGCTCAAGGTCAGGGCCTATACCACAGGCCTGGCTGTTCTCCTGGAAGGCCACTGGCTGACCCCTGTCCTCACTTCTGGTCTTGACTGTGATGGGTGGGGATTTGCTAGATGGTGAGATGGGAGCTTCGTGGGCCAACCGGGGCTCCATTGCTGGGGACGGGCATGAGGGGACCTACTCATGGGTCTGGCTTGGGAGATGGGAGGGCCTGGTAAGGACACTTGGCCGAGCAGTTTTCTGACAAGTGTCCCAGGAATGAAGCACAAGATGGGGGCAGGAGCTTGGGCAAACATCCAGGAGAATGAAGGCAAGAGGTGCTAGGCATCAAGAGGAAAGAGCACAGAGAAGCCAGAGCTTGGGCTGTACTGTCCTCACAAGGTACGGATGCTACCATTGCATCAGGGGAGGAAGGGGCCCTTCCTATTGGCAATGTTCTATAGCATCCTATGCTTCTGCTGACCTTCAAGTGGCTAGGACTTGCCAAGACGATGCTGGCTCTTATGGCTTATGCCGGTGCTAGGCAGTAGAGAAGGGGCCAGCCTTGCTGCAGCCACTAAGGACTTAGTCAGGGCTCAAAGCTAAAAGAGTTCAGCCTAAAAACCAAGACCAGCTAGGGGGTGGTAGCGCACACCTTTGTGGTAGCACACACCTTTAATCCCAGCACTTGGGAGGCAGAGCCAGTGGATCTCTGTGAGTTCGAGGCCAGCCTGGTCTGCAGAGCGAGATTAGGACAGGCACCAAAGCCATACAGAGAAAACCTGTCTCGAAAAAAAAAAACAAAAAAAAAAACAAACAAACCAAAACACACACGCACACACAAAACAAAAAGAAAATAAAAACAAGACCAGTTTCAGCTGGTCCTACGTATCCGTCATTTCCCCATCCCCACCCTCACCCCAAACAGGACACAATGCAGTCACAGGCTGCATCACTACAGCTCTGAGTGGCCATCCAGGGCTGGGAAGAGAGGTGTATGGCTAAATTGTTCTTGTTAAGGTGACCCAACTTTGCAGCTGAGCAATATTCTTATACAGCCTCTCAGGGCTCTACTATCTTCTCATCAAATGGTATAATCAAGACCTCTGACTCCTGTCACCCCACTCTGGTTTACACACTCCAAGTGCCCTTCCTTGGTCTCAGCCCCTAGTCAGACATGGCTTCTGTGTTCCTAATGGAACAGCAGTTCCTTGCATCTCAGAACTCCAGACCAAATGACAAAGGTTTCCTCTAAAAGCCAGGTGCAGAGTGGGGCTGCCTCTCCAGGAACTCAGGATCTGGCTTACAGCCCTATAATGCCTTCAGATTGTGGCCACAGCCCTTAATGCAGTGGTTTGCAACCTGTGGGTTGTGATCCCTTGTGTGTGTGTGTGTGTGGGGGGGGGGGTGTCAAAGGACCCTTTCACAGGGGTTGCATATCAGATACCCTGCATATCAGATATTTAATTTCAATTCATAACAGTAGCAAAATTATAATTATGAAGTAGCAACGAAATAATTTTACACTTGGGGTCACCACAACATGAGGAACTGTATATTAAAGGGTCGCAGTTTTAGGAAGGCTGAGAATCACTGCCCCAGTGTGACTGTGTGCAGCCATGGGCAGCATCATCACAGCTGGGCTGGCGCTGAGGGATGACAACAGAATTTATTACAGAATTACCTTCTGGGGTGCGATTCCCAGTGCTCCCTGTCCTGGCTG